GGGTATCCTGCTCCAGCAGGGAAAACCCAGGAAAATCAGATGTTGTTTCCAACCAGCTCAGGACCCTATTGGCAGAAGTCCAGTGCCAGGGTGGGAGATGAGCTGTCAGGACATGGAGGGTCTGCTGCCCCCCACACCAGAGCCAGCTCAACAGGTCCCTCTTTGGGAAAACCCAGTGTCTATATCTGATAAAAACAATCAGGGAAAAAATTAGAAAAAAAGGAGGTGCAGCACCCGCCCTGCTCTTGGAGCTCCTTGGCAGGTACTTCCCCTGGCTCAGGCTCAGCCCCCTCTGCTGCATCCATCCCTCTGGTTTGGCTTTGACTCTCTCAAGACTGTGGGTCTGGTAGGATTGGGATCTCCAAAGAAAGCTGAGAGGTTTACCCAGAGCGTGGCAGGGTGGCATGACCACCAGCAGAGTTTATTTTATGTGAAGACAGTACCTGCCTCTTGCAGACTTCAGGCTGACTCAAGAAATGTGTGAAGGAGGGAGAGGTGCTCAGGGAACACAGACTGTGAGCGGCTAGAAAAGGTGAAAAAGGAGCAGGAAGGATGAAGGTGAAGGCAATGAGGATACTCACATCACTTTTGTCATTGGCTTGACTCCAGAGGGAGGATTGTCTCTGGAAACATGGAGAGGGGCTGCCTGGGCTCCTATGGTTGGGTGTCCTGGGGGAAAAAATTCCAGGAAAGTCACCTGGTGACTCCTCACCACACAGCCAGAGCAAGAGGGTGGTGGATCTGAGACACAAAGCCAGAAAAGTGGTGCTGCCACTGCTGCAGAGTGTAGATGTAGAGAACAACTAGTAAGGTGGCTGGGAAATACTGAATGCAAACAGAACAAAAAGTCCCCCCCAAATTATCCCAAAGAAAAAAAATAAGCCATCAAGCTTTCTGTGCAGACCACGCCTGTGCCACACACTGCAGGATCATTTCCCAGGATCATTTTGAAAGGTTGCTGAGAGCCAGCAGTGCTAATGCATTTGGGTCAGCATTTTCCTACTCCGAACCCACTGTTTCATGACCAAAAAACACTCAGGAAAAATCCCTTCTACCTTTGATTGGATTTACTATGTGATCCACCCCATGCCTCTGACAGGTACAGGGGGAAGCAGGGGTGCAGGGTGCCCGGATGGGTGCTTCTGTGGTGTGATGGGAGGTCATGGAATATGGTTTTAAGCCCAGGAAGGGCACAGCATGGCACAGAATTACATGTACCATCCATCACTTGCTGACTGTGTTGTTTTCTCTTTGCACACTTGTATGGAAATGTAACTACAAAACGTTCCTCTGAACAGTTCCCTTATGTGCAAATATAGCTTTAAATGACTTCTCTAGGAAAGAATCCTCACTATTTTATACAAATTGTCTTGCATGTTTATTACACAGAATTGTGATCCAAAAAGAAGGGGATTCATCCCATGCCTGTTCATAACACTGCTCTCCCTTACTCATTAGGAGCTGGAACATACTCCAGGCCCCCTCATATGATAAATGATACTGACTTTGCTCTTCGCTTCCAGCCTGCTTGGATGTGCTTATTTATGGAGCCTCAGTGCACTGATAGATACAGTTGTCTCCCAGTTCCTCCACAAGACAGAGCACATTGTGGGCACTGGACTTGGAACAGGCAGTTTGGAGAGGGATCAGGAGAATCTGAAACTCTGCTCCTGGCCTTGCTGCTGTGCAGGGACACCCTGGGACCGCTCCAGAGGTGCTGCACTTCCCACTGACTCTTCCCAGCAGCTGGTAGTTTCCCCACCACATTTAAAGCCCTTTTACCCATCCCATGACTCAGAGCAGAGCACCAGGCTGGACTCAGAGCCACGCAGGTGCATGGATGCCCACTGGCCTGCCCTGGGAATGCTGTGCCGGGGAAGCATGAGCAGGATGTCTCCTTCTGTATTTAGCTTGGCTGGCTCGGCCAGCCCATTCCACTGTCTGCACAGCCTCGGGGAGAGTGGAAGGAAACAACGTGCTGCCCAGCCAAGCCAAACACCAGGAGGTCAAATGCTGCAGCACGGCTTCTCGGAGATGACACACACACCCGGGGCAGGTCCACTTGACTCCTGGCACAGGAGCATCTTTCAGAAACCTGCAGTAACACCGCAGCTGCAAATGCCAGCCCCTGCCCCAGGCTCCAGCACACACCACCTCCCTCCCGGGGTGAGATTTGCAGCCTGCGAGGGAGGAAGGTGCCGGGATGGGTAATCCTGGTGCAGAGCACAGCCCCCCTTCCCTGGCAGTGCAGGGGAAATAATACAGCCTTCATTAACTTGTCAAATTAAGAAATTGAGAGCTGTCAAAGTGTAGCGAAGATTGGAGGTGGCTTTTATAGCAAACCTTCGAATCTCCCACTGTTTGTCTAATCTAATTTCCTCATCCTCTTGTCCTAAGAGAATCATTACAGGAGAGGGAGAAGTAGAGAGATGAAGACAGGAACAGTTTCCATCTGAAAGCACCTCCCTTCCGTGTGTGTGTGTGGATGAGAGTGTTTATATAAGCTGTGTGGGATCAGCAATTTTCCTCTGCCAGGTTTATGTTTTAAGACAACTCGTAAACTTCATCCCCTCTGGTCAATCTGCCACAGGAAGAATATAAAAATAAAAATATTCTTTTGTTTTGGTGGAAACCCTCCTGTCCTCCAGTGCTGGCTTTTAAGAAGGCAGCACCAGAGAGTGTTCTGAAAAAGTAACATGTGGCACATCTCAAGCCCCTGCAGGTGAGATAAAGCCCTGGAGGAACCAGCTGCTGTGACAGCAGAGGGTGAAGAAGCTGTCCAACAACAGCACAAAACACAAACAAATTCATGGTTAACACCATCTCTGCTGGGGAATGAAAGGTTAAAACCACACCAGGAACTGGTTGGGAACAGGCTTTTGAGGCAAAGCTGCCATTCCTTGCCTGCTAATTGTTATGTTTTCCAAAGATTTCATCAAGTAAGTTGTGTTCAACAAACTGCTATTTAATTACCAGAGTAGAATCCTGTTAATTAGCCAGCCCCAGAAGACAGCCCTTCATCCCTGTTAAGTGAAATTCCCAACTAATCCCTCCAGCAGCTACTGTGTTGCAGCCTGGGGAGCCCCAGAGAGCTATTAGAGATGCCCCCAAAGGTGGGGGGAGCATCAGAGCTCGGCCCCTGCCCAGGACTGTCCTCAGCCCTTGGAAGGTGCAGACCAGGACAAGTGTAGCACTCAGAAGTAAAAAGCTGTTTATTCCTCAGCTCTCCCTCCTAGCGCTGTTTTCCCAGGCGGCTTCAACCGTAGCCCAGCCAGCAGCTCCTCTTCCCCTGGGGCTGGCACTCCCATTGCATCCCTGGGCTGCATCCCCGTGCTCCCTCCCTTCCCCCACACAGTCTGTGCCCCTGCCCGTGCAAGAGGCCACCAGCTCCCCTTCAGCCAGTTCCCCACCATCCTCCACCTACCACCACATAGCATCAAGACTTTCCCCAGCTTTTACAAGGTGCTACAAACATTTCCAAACCCAAGCAGTGCTCTCTCTCCTCTCACCTCTCATCTCACCTGGTACAGAGGACAATCCCCATGTGACAGTAACTCCACACCCAGCAGACCCGGGGGGGCAGGAGAGGCATATCAAGGATATGAAGTTCCTATAAAACTCAAAAAAACCAGTGCTCCAGCTGTGTGAAAAGATTCAGCCTTTCTGGATAGAGCCCAAGGGCACCATCCCAGGGTGGGAGGGATCAGCCAGGGCTTGTTCCCACCCCAAGAGGGAAGCAGGTTTCTTTCATTCTGCTAATCTGGACAGGAAGTTGTAGGCACTTCTTTGATTTCCATTTAAACAATTTAGAAGATTTTGAAGAAGTGGGGGGGTGTCATTTAATCAAGTTCAATAAAGCAAATCTCCAGGAGAAAATAAATATTTAAAAGAGTAAAACTATTAACTGTTCAACATCATTTGGAATAAATACATCCCTACAGATGCAGGGATGAAAAGACAGTTCAAAAATTCTACAAAGTCTTTAAATCAATGGTTGCAAAATACCAATATGCAATTTGTCAGGTTCCTGTGAACTTGCCCTACCCAGTCTGATCCAAGCCTGATTTTGGATTGTGGCATACGATACACTGAATTTTAGTCAAGAACACATCCATCAACCCTGATTCTAAGTAATAATAACTATCATCAGAATTAAGCCATATGGAAAAAAATCCATGATTTTATAGACCAATGAAAAATTGACAAGAGTTTGTAATGTGGACTTTAGCAGTCAATGTGCAGCTACCCTGCCCTATGGGTAGAATAAAGTGTCTCTCAGTCTCTACCCAACATTGAAGCAGAGAGGTCTTTAATATTGAAGGGGCACACAAGGCAACAACATAAAAATAATTTCCTTCAATAGGATGAATAAAGTAATACCTTAAATTAGCAAGTTCCAGTGACATCACCAGCTCAGCCATTCCTGCCAGCAGATCCAACTCTACTGAAATCAACATCTGTGCTGAAAACAAACCTGGGGAAGAGGTAAGAGAGTCTGGCTTGTTTCCAAAAGTAAAACAAAGAGGAGGGAGAGGTGTGTGATTAATTCTCCATTGGTATTCCACTCACATTTCCTCCAAAGACAGGGAAGTATTTCAAGTGAGAAATCTTGCTCATCAAGCTGTTACAAACATTTTTCCTCAGTGTGTTCTACCCCTCTCTTCTCTGAAGTCACTTTTCTTCTCCATCACACAGGCCTGGAGGCTGTCCATGTACATCCCACCTGCAAGTATCTGCTGGCACTCCATACTTTTTCATTAAAAAAAAAAAAAAATCTCAATCTATGAAAAAAACTTTTAAGAGAGTTTTACTGAAAAATACACAGGTTTGAAAAAACAGGACCGGAAACATTTCATCTCAGAAAGCAATTACAGAAGCAAGACATTTGGGCTTTAGAAAATGTGTTTAATTGATAACACTCATTAACTACACAGTTCATAAATACAAATTAAAGTTGTAAATACAAGATAAAGTTGTAAAAAAAAAAATCTCAAATGTGTGATACTTATTTTTAAATTTATTTGATTTTTATTGTTGTCTCCTTAGTATGTGGAAATTAGTGCAACTTGAACAGCTGCCAAACAAAAACCTCTAAACGAGGAAGGAGTGCTAAGTGGCACAGTCATCTCTACCTTGCAGCTTCTTCTCATAAGGGGAACTAAATCAATCTTTGGTAGTATATTAAAGCACCTCAAATAGTTAAAATAGACAAACACTTAAAGGTTAACACTGTTTATATTTCTATTCCTGCTGCAACACAATCTATTACTTTTCTGTATTTTTTGTTTGTTTTAAAAAGGTCACTTAGGAAGTTTTCATGGCTTGAGACTACAGATGAGGGAACCTCTTCCTTAGCACTGAAGTCAGCAGCAATTCTGACACTGACCTAGTGGGTGCAGACAGGGACCTGAAGTACTTCTGGAAGTGGGAGGGATGGATCCAGTTTGTTAAACACATTAGAAATTATTCATTACACTTTTTCATGAATGTACAGAAATGTACCATAAGAAAGCATACAATATAAAAACATAAACACCCCATTGCTTCTTAAATAAGATGGGGTGGAGTTTGCAGGTTTTCCTACCAAAAAATTTCTCATTCTAGCCTGAACGAGGGTTCTTCTGAAATCAATACAATCAAAAGACATTAACATCATCCCACACAGGGTTAGTCCCAATATAATGAATATAATTTAATGAACCCTTTTCTATTTACATTTACTGTATGTGTGCTGTTGTCAGTGCACAACCAGATTACACTGAATATTAGAATATTAGAATAAATGCAGTGCAATTTCTTTCTCTCTTGGGACAAGCTCAGTGAGTAAATCTTAACATGATAGGAATGTCTCAAAGTGAAAATTGAAAACACATTTCCCCAAGCCAGCATTCCTCTATGCAGAGCACATGTCAGAGAAGCAGCGCAGCATCTCTGTGCATGTTTGCTTTTCACTAAGTGCAGTGCAGAAGGAAAGAAAGCCTGCTATCTGAATGAAATGGGAATATAGAATCAGGTTGAAATAAACAAGTGGCCAAAATATCTTTTAAAAGAAACAATGAAGAATTAAAAACGTCAACTCAACATGAAGTGATGAATTGCACATTTAGCGGTCAAGGCAACTGTTTTTCTTCATTTTCAACAGCAATAGCCCAGTTTGAAATGTCAGAAACTCAAAAGGACCAACTGCATGTAGCACTTTTGCAGGGCTTCCACCATTCTCCTCCTTGTCCAGACCACCTCAAAACACCAAAGAACAACAAATGAGCTCGGTACACACTGAACTTAATGCTTTCCACGTCAGCCTTCGAAAGCATGATGCTCTCTGTGGGCTAGGGAAGAGAGAAGGGGAAAAAAAGAATAAAAGAACATGTAAACTATGACAAGGAAAAGATTAAAAAAACAGAAGATGGCAGTGTATAAATCAGTCAAGGAAGACATAACATGCCAACAAGTGATCTTTGGGAATACACTATTCTGATAATACATTTATAGAGATATTAAAATATGAGATCCCTTAAAATCCTGATTGTAAATGGTTCCTCTAAATGAATCCTTCAATTGAACAGCGTGTAGCCTTGAGAGTTATCAAGAGATTTGTCTCACTTGTTTTATGACTCAGGCATATTAAACATGAAACCAAATATATTCTACGATTAAATTAAAAATATCTTTTGAATGATAGCTAACTTTTACATTGAAGGGACCTAATTTTAATGCAATGACAGATGCTATGTTCCTAAGTGATTAATGATGAATCAGGCAGGATATTCCCATGGAAATACCCTCCCAGCATCTTGTTTTTCTAATGAAGGTGGAAATTAACAGTACAAACCACTTACGTTTATAGAAGACTGCCTTAAAAGATGTGTGTGGCAGAAGTTTGTGAATCTTCTCTAGAACTTTTGCTTCACTTGCTGAAGAGGCATTCACGTTCCAGACTTGCACAACATCTTCACGGTCCCGAACGCTGACACTCACCCCTATTACTTCATCTTCTGCACAGAAGGGGAAGAATCATTAAGGAATACTTTAAAAGTGAGACATGTCTAATTTGCTACTTAGGTATTATGAAACAGTGCCCAAAAGCTGAGGAAAAAAATGAAGACTTGAAAAAAAAAAAAAAAAGCAATCTCCAGTGAGGAAAATACCAATGTTCAAACCAGACAAAATAGTTACCAGAAAGAACCACTGTGTTTATAGAAGCTATTGGAAATATTACCTCATAGTGTTTTTTATGAAGTGCCATAAGATTATTCATCTTTGCTATTAGCACTCTTGATTAGAAGGGAATCACAAGACTCCCTTCTGTAAGGTCAGCAATAAGATAATTTACCTACAATAATGCTACAAGCAAAAATGTGAGGATGAGGGTGAAACAACTAAAACCCCAGGAACAGTACCTGGTGGAAATCAGATACCAGCTTTTCCAGACTTTGTTCCCTTTTTCCTTTACATTTTGTCAAGACAGCAACAGAAAAAAGGAAAAAAAAAAATTAATAAAGCCCCAGTCAGGCTGCTGCCAGTGCTGGTAACTCCATGTTTTGCTGAGAAAGCCCTTTTTGGTGTGAAATTCTCAGGATGCAGCTTTATGGAGAGCTCAAAGGCCAAGCCACAGCTTTCCACTGGGAGCAGTGGGTGCCTCCAGCTGTGAGCTCCATGGCACAGCTGTCCCATGCATCCTAAGGAAGGGGTCAGTAATGATAACACAAAGATGGTGCCAAAACCACATGGACAAGGGGAAAACTACCTCTGTAGGCAGCAGAGTATCATAAAGTGACCCCAAGTCAACCCTATCAGTATATAAAGGGTGTGAGAGACACTGTTTGGAAGGTCTTTGCTGAACTGCTCTGTGAACCTGAGTAATGCAATTCTTTTTTATGGAATGACAGCAGGGAAGGAACATTCCTAACAGGATATTCACAGCCACTGTAACATCCAGCTTAGTCAGATATTCATGCTTAGGAGAGAAGTAAATATGGTCAAAAGAAACGATGAAGAAGTGCCATTTGAATTGAAAAGTTAGTTTAGTAACAGCTCCCAGAACACTTTCCCTCTAGGCCAGTGGGTCAGCAAGTTCATCGTTTGCTTCACCCAGAAGCAAGAAACTATTCTTTAACAGAACCTGAATGAATTAAATGGTCAGACTTGTACTTGCTTTTCATGACTAAGAAGTTGCCTTTGACAATCTGTTTTAAAGCAGCTAGTGTTCACAGTACCTTCTCAGAGTTCCTTTCCTTGCAAGGAACCTTGCAAGCCTAGAGAAGATATTTATTCTGAAAGGGACTTCATTAAATTATTACCTCTGACCAAAATAATATGTGAGCTTCTGGATGATTAATGCCTGTTTTCCAGTAAACCAGCAAAGTACTTTTAGAATATTTATGTAAATTCAATTACATGAAACATTACCTTGACCTGAGCAGTATTTTTAAGCAATGAACAAAATATTGCTTCTGGGTAGAGTGCTAACCTGGGATTCAGGAGAGCCAGGTTTGTGTTGTGGCCCTGCTGTGGGCTTTTAATGTCACCACAGCCAAACCACGCAGTGTCCCTCTGCTTCAGGTCTGCACTGGTGCTTCCCCTGACAATTCCTAACCAGTGGGACCATCAGGGCAAATGGGGACATCTATTCAAGGCCAGGTTGGATGGGGCTCTGAGAAACCTGCTCTAATGGAAGGTGTCCCTGCCCATGGCAGGGGGTTTAGAACTAGATGATCTTTAATGTCCCTGCCAACCCAAACCTTTTATGATTCTATGATTGATCTAATTTAGATGCTTCCAACAGTGACAATCCAAACAATCTGTATGGAAGTGCCATTTAGGGTTCCATAATCCTGATACTGGGGAATGAAAATTAATTATTTAAATACTGGCTAACTGACAGATGTTTAATAACTAGAAAAGCTGCTGGCTTCCCACAGACACAAGCTGTCGAGCTTGAATCTTGTACAAAGGTAGTCAGCATACCTTGTCCTCTTCTTAATGACAGCGGGTATGAACAGGGTTTCCAGCTCCACACCCCATTTTTAGCAGTGCTACCGTGTTCTGTATTCCAACTCAGTTTGTCATGCTTGCCTCAATCATTACCTGCTGCACAACAATCTGTAAACTGCTCTCCAATAGTCGCCAGCAGTAGCTCTTTCCAAACTGCAGCCTAAGGAAGCAGAAAAAAGTTACATTTGCATTATTATTTTTTAATTTAAAAGTTAGGTTTTCTAGCTCAGTTTTGAGTGTCTTCTCTTTCTGAGGTTGTCTAGAAAAAAAAGGAATATTTATTGCAAGTGCATGCTGTGTTATATAATTCATAGTTAGGTCTGAACAAGATGGTTCATCTCAGTCAAGGAGATGCTGTGCACTCATGTGATGAAGAACAAACCCAAAAAATGAGAAACAGGCATAAAGATATTATTTATGTTATTTACAAGGCAATGAAAGCTGACTGAAGTTCACCTTCAAGCAGACCTTTCAGAAGTGACTGGGGCCATGTGGTGTGTAGTTTGAGAGATCAAAAGTACCTTCATTTCAAAAATGGGCTGTCATTCAGCCTCTGAAAAACAAGGCCTCTGGGGCCCCTAAATTCACTGCCCAGTAATGCAGGCTTCCCAAACCACTTGTCACTTCTGGCAATCTTCACACCTTGGATTATAAGAGGAAAAAGACAATTTGAGTCTTTTGTGATCACTTGGGACTGCAGGGGAGAAAAGCTGCAACTCACATAGAGGAAAAAAGCCCACAGGCAAAAATCAATTAACTTTTGGCTGAAATTGAGTGCCATCTTTCAGCATTTAATGCCTTCTGCAAGGCTGTCACATTTTCCTGACACTTCACTTTTCGTGTTTAAAGGCCTGATCCAAAGCATACTTGCACACATAAACACTACGTGTGAAGAGGTCAAATCTCCTCGCCACGGAAGTTCACAGGAGAAGTTACTCACGTGCATTTGATTAGGGATGCAAAGAGAAACCCAGTTATTTCATCAGGGTTCAAACAATGACATGCCTGAACAGACTTAATCTTTAACACTTTTGAATTAAAAAAAAAAAAAAAAAAAGAGGAAAAAAAAAAGAAAGGGGAAAAAACCTGAGCAGCGAGCAGCACTGCAATTTCCCAAAATGCACACAAGGTGCTCTGACAACTCACCATTGCCAAAGGGGATGATCCTACTTGTCTTTTCTACTTTACACCCATCAAAAGCTCTCCATGTGGCCGTACAGTCTAATTAAAAATAAAAAAACCCCAGGAGACTTTTTGCAACAACAGAGTGCACTAAGCTGGTTCATTAAACAGTCTGATGAGGATCAGAGCCAGTGCAAGAGGGATCAGAAGAGAAGGAAGCAAGATCTTGCCTCTTCCAGTGGGAGCACAGCCATGAGTTACTGGTGGAAACAATGCCTTGGTCCACGTTTGGCTGTAGAAAGTCACAGGCTACTCAGAGCCATCACAGGGGCAAACAAGCCACACCAAGCAGAAATAGTCCTACAGAGTTTGACAGAGTGTTTAGGAGCATTTCAGTGAAAGTCTGTGCTGTGTCGACTGTGGTTCTGGCTATAATTTAGCGTAGATTATCAGGAAAAGGTTTCCTGTTTTCCTTTGTATGCCTGTAAGCAAACAGTCTCGAGAACAAAGGTGATTATAAATTCCCATGTTTCCAAATGGAAACACTGCAGCTTTCAATTGCTTGATAACACGTTGCCAAATGTTATCTAAAGCAAGAGGGACGGAATTATTGGAAAAGAAAGTTTTGCTCATTGTATTTAAAAGGTTATGTATGGTAAAACAGTGTTTGGTTGTTGTGTTGGATGATGTCAGAAGTAAGAAGTTTTACAACAGCTTTATCAGATACAATTTAAAGATACTCCCTTACTAAACAAGGTCTGAGTAAGAAGTCAATATAACATACCGTACTTTCTTTAGGGACCTTCATTTTCCATATACCTCCTTTGGCATTGCTTTCTTCTTCCCTGTTATGGGAAATAGATCAGTGAAAATAAACAGTCAATTCCACATCTAGATAACCTTATGTTTGTGGTTTAATTTTCCCAGAAAAATCCCATCTGAAACGCAATTACTAACTCCAGGGAGCATGACTCTGACTTCTGACATCACAGATAATTCTTTCATTGTTCACATGAAGTGTATCTCTCAACACCTAATCCCTTTTCCTAAGTTTTGTGTCTTGGAAAATACTTACATTTTCCCTGACAACAGACCGTCTTTGAAGTGGCTGCACACTGTATGGGAACAAGCCACAAAACAATTTTACGTTTTACCATGGTAACCTTTTATTTTGGAAAACCTCTGGCATATTTTCACAGAAGCAACTTATTAGTCTCCCATTCATCGAATTTAACAAAAGAACATGAGCACACTTCATTTCAGTTTTGTGACAGCTAGAAATTAATTGCTCATATTTAAAAAAGACTGAAGTTGCCCAGGGTCAGGGCAGACATAATCATTAAACTGCCTTGTAATGACAAAGGCACGACGTACAAACCTGTGAGCTCCTCAAGTTTATTCCGCCACAATTCATTCAATAAGATTTTAAATTATCGCTTTTACTTTCCTGTTAAAACTCTGTAAAAGCAAAGTTAAAGGAATAACCTAAAATTCATCTTTGGTGGGAGACTGTTGGTCCTGGGGAATTTCCATTAGGTTTCATAGGGGGGTTAGATATTCCAATCCTGACAGATGCTGGGGAAAGGAGCTGGGAAGCTTTAGGAGGACACTTTCAAAAAACCTGCAGTCCTCAATTCTTATTTCAGAATTTGTTTTTCTGTCTTAAAAAAAAAAAAAAGGAACATATATATGTATATATATATAAATGCTGATATTGGCCAATATACTTTTGTGTGTAATTACTGAAAAGTTAGTGGGTTACTGATGAGATCAACCTCTGGCAATCCCTTTCCTAAAATACAAAATTACTTTGATAGACTTAAAATAAAACATAAACAAGACATTCCTGTCCCACACCTGTCTCCTTTCTCCAGTTCAGGTTCTTCCACTGCCCATTCCCAGAAATGTCTGATGACAACACACGTACCAGAGTGGGCGTCTTTCTCCCCGCATTAAGTGGTAACTACATCTCAGAGGCAAATTTGTCACAGGAGGAATGTTGTTGTAGACACTCCAGAAATCCTTGAAAAGAAAAAACACTAGTTGCACTAACACAAGAGAGTACATTTCCTGCAGATTTACTGCCTCGCTAGTTTTCTCTAAAACAATTACATATCCTTCTCCTAGAGAACTGGCATCTTCTATGTTATAATAAAATGCTTGGAGAAGAACTTGTTACAAGTTAATTTCTTCTTTTTTTTAGATGTCAATTCTGCATAAGTGAAGGTGGAAAGAAGGGAAGCAGTCCAACTGTGAATTATTTTAGAATCAAGGTCCTTTTCAATAGGGAGGGAGGAAAAAATAATCAAAATCAGAGTTACACTAAGTATGTGAGAACAAAGCAGTACATAGTATTTTATTAGCATATAAAAAATATTTATATCAAATATCCTAGCCTAGCCTAAATTTCATTGTGATTATCCTGAGTTACAAAACCACCACAAATGATAATTCTGGTGAACTAAATGCCTAACCAGCAACCCAGCTACTTTGTCTAAATGAAAGGTTTCAACCACATGCAAAGAACGTGAGATGCACATGTTAATACAGGAAGGGGGGAGAAATCAGAAGATCCAAGTTACCAGGAACCATTTGATTACTTCCCAGTGTCTCTGCTGGTACAAGCGGAAGCTGTCATGCATGTTTGGGGTGGATAAAAGGCACCCAAAAGCAGTAGTGAGCAACAGGGAGGGATGACTAAAAAGATCCCAATCCCTGTTCTTCTTTATCCAACAGCCGGGAATAAGATTTTTAAAGACTTAAGTTGCATCAACATGTGGTGATGCAATATTAATTAGTAGTGCAACTCATTAAGTATTATCTACACATAATACTCAAGTATTATCTAATACATTAAGTATTATCTAATACTTAATCATTAGCACAATTTTAGTAACAAAGATTGCAACATTATGTGATAAAATTTTTCAGCCCTTGGTGACTCTGCCTACCAGCAATTACCATTTCCCAGTCACAAGAAGAGAGATGGAAGACTAATAAAAATATAAAAACTTGTTATGAAACACCTGTTTCAACTTTTGTCTTATTCTTACCTGGTTGTTTGCCCAAACCCTAAAGCTGCTGACAGAAAAAGAAGCAGAGCTACACTGGCAGATGGCTGTGGAAGCATTTGAAAGCTCTTTATGTCCTGAACCAAGGACTTTGTTTGGAAGGTTTTGGGTTGAAAACATCCTTCAGGTGGTGGAGGCTGGAATTCCTCATTGAGTAGGTACTGGCCATGAAGGAGAGTGATGGAGTCAATGAAGATTTTGGCTTCGCTTTCCCAAGGAAGATCATATTATATGAAAGCCTTGTTTAAAACTCCAGGAGATCACTACAGCTGTGCTTCTCAAAGAGAAGGGTTTGGCACTACCTTAGAATTTCAGAGATTTAGTGAACTAGAATCAGCTTAGCATTAAGGTGAGACAAATACCAATTGGCTAACTTCATGGTAACTGTGGTATTAAAACAGAAATGCAATTTTACTTGCAAGAGATGTCCACTGCTAGGCACTGGCAGATGACACAGACATGCAGAATTTCTCATTACTGTGAGTATTCCATGATGTAAGAGTACTTTAATTCAAGTCAGTTTGCTAAATTTTTTTTGATTCATGCTCAAGTAGGAAAGACCAAAAAAAACCCCCTACAAGTTGCAATTTTTAGTCTTTGTATAATGAATTTCTGTGTTAAATAAAACATAAGAAAAAAAGCAGAAAAATAGGAAAATTTAATAATCCAATATGTTCAATCCAATATGCCTCCTCCTTTCCTGGTCTGGAAAGCCAAGTGAAATTCAAACAATGACTCAGTAATACACACACACAACTCCAACAAAACTCACGTTTCACACCTCAGGTAAGCAAAGCCACAGCTGTGACTCATTCTGTGAGGAAAAATGAAACTTAAGGTGTGAAGTTACATTAATAACGTGTGGTAGCTCCTGTAGCAGAGCCAGACACTTTACCTGCACTGTTTGTACTGTATAAATCTTCTTCAAGTTTGATGCACATTCAGCCGCTGTCGTACCAGGAAGTGATCTTGAAAACAAAGTACAGATTAATTAAAACATCTATTTTATCAAGGAGGGAAAGAAGGGAGATGGAGAGGGAACGTGAATCGCATGAGTGTGAGGTTGAAATATTCACGTGTCAAAGTGGAAGCCCAACTCCAATTACCATGAATCATTTAAAGATAAGAGTTAAAAAGTGCTTTTATACTTGTGAATAGGTTAATATTGACGACGTAATTTGTAAAATATGTTGATTAAACGGGAGAATTCGGAGTTTTAAACCAAGCAGCACAGCGCTGCTCTCAGGGCCACCCCATCCCCTCAGAGCCCTGCTGTTCACAGGTGACGGGCTACCAGAAGGGGACTGCATGTTCATCCTCTGCAATTATTTTTAATTGCACTTAATACACTTTAGCCCCCTTTTTTAAGCGTTTTAAGACACTCCCAGTGCTTCACACTTGGGAAAAGAAAATAATCCGCGCTGTTCCCAGCGCCGGCCGCTAGGTGGCGCAGGCGCACAGGCGGCGGGATGAAGGGATGCGGGATCATGGAGGGATGAAGGGACGCGGGATCATGGAGGGATGAAGGGATGGGGATCATGGAGGGATGAAGGGATGGGGATCATGGAGGGATGAAGGGATGCGGGATCGTGGAGGGATGGTGGGAAGGCAGGATCATGGAGAGATGAAGGGATGCGGGATAGTGGCAGGACCTTCCCTCAGCCCCACACCGCCCTCACCGGGGCCAGTCACAGCTGTCATGGGTCCCTCCGATGGATGGGTCACGCACACGGGCTGAGGAGAAGCACACGTCCCAAAGGGCAGCTCCCCTGCCAGGTGCCATGTAAACCAACGCACGCAGCTCTTCCACCACTGCCACTATGTCTTCAAGCCACATCTACCACCAGCACGGCCCATAAAGCCACAAGATTCTCAGGTTGGCCTCACTGCCAGACACGCTGGTACACCAGGAATGGTTCAGCTTCTCCAGCTCGCCATCATACTGACCATTCCCAGCTCCCACCCGGAGCTGCTCCCTTCAGGCACGCACAGCACCAGCTGCACCTCATCCTCTGAAAGGCCTTTTCCAACCTAAATGATTCTATTTATAACCTTCGTCATGAATCTTCAGTGCTTGAGACATGGGATGGTGCATCCACACCCTCAGACATCACTTGGCTCCTGTCACCACACTAATAGTGCATCGTAACACCCACCTTACAATTCCCAGCACACAATCCCACAGACACAATTTTTAGAGGAATGAGGTCAAAATTGCTAAGGCACATTCAATTTGTTAGAACTGGAAATATTTTTTTCTCTTCAGAAGCTGAAGCAGGATTTCTAAAGAAAAATGAAGATCAAAGACGAAGCAACCTCCCATTGTGTCCCAGAAGAGGATACAAAAATGTGTAAAATTACTAAATCTGGAAACAGAGGCAACAGAACAAGTTTAAGGAAACAGAAAAAAACGCAGCTGTTGCTCAGGTACCAGCTGAAGAAAGGATAAAAGCAAACTGGATCTCAGTAACCCTCCCTGATACATCTGATCAGAATGAAATATGTCCAGGGAAACACTGAAGTTACTCTCAGTTGTTACAGATATCATTTAGGCTCTGGGGCAAACCCTAGACATTCACATAAAGGAAGAAATTTAATATGCAAAACTACTGAAACATCACATCTTCAGAAGTCTAATAATAGCTCTAAGGTTTTTTGAAGGCTCCTATCAACGTAAGTTACTTTAAAAATACAAAACCAAAAGAAAAATCCCTCCCAGCTTTTCCAGAACAGGCAAACTAACACCTACTTTATTATTTGCCTGTTAATTACCAGCCATAAGAGCACATTACAGTGGTGGAACTGGCAAGAAAACAGTGTTACATGTCCAAATCTCAAAAATCACTTTAACTAGAGGTTATAAAAACAAGCAAACAAAACCCAAGAAATTGCTGTGGCACAGATTCTAGTCCTGTGCTCATGAACTATGAAAACTTCCATGAAAAAACTTGAAACCAGCAACAAACAAAACTGTCATCAATGTGATCAAAAGGAATTATCATAGTAAGGATTTGGGGTTTTTTTTGTGTTTTGGCAGTTTTTACTTACACTTTACACTCAGCATTGAAGAGCAAAAAGAGAAATTCACATTATTTAATAGAGAGTGCCAGTCAGCCTGGTTTTGAATGCACACAAAAAGGTAGTAAATAAAACAGACTTTGAAACTTATCACGTGACATTTGTCAGTAGGGAGTAGTGGATTTGCAAACTACCCCTTGTTTTTAACTTGTTGCTGACAGAAGTAGCACCCCTCTACTAACACTTGGTTTCATGTAGAATAGAACACAAACAGGCAAAGCCTGAGATAACTTTGCCTCTCACTGTCCCAAACCCCTGCTCAAGAAATTACTTCTCTTAGGCACTCTCAGTAACTTAGCAGTCACCAGTGCATGTGGGGTAACATGCTGTACAACATACAGTATCATCACTCTATATCCTCATTCTGATACTGCCACTGAGTTGCCTCAATAGTAAGGTTTACTCAAATAAAAGATTAAAATGTGTTCTCCAACCATAGCCTTCAAAGGTTACCTAGATAATCATGGTAGCCATTTAGCAAATTCAATGCTGTTTAAAAGAGCAGCTAAGACAGGTAGACAGAATATTCCACTCTGAGGTTATAAAATGGTTCATTTTGATAGCTGCAAATAACATTTTCCAGAGAAAACTGTGATCAGCTGGCAGAAAGCACCAACCAAGCAGTAAATTATCTTTTAAAAGTTATGGTGAGTGACCATTTATTTCCAGTGACCTGCCCAGTAAATGCTCCATGCCCACAAGATTACATAGTATTATTTCAGCCTTTCATCTAGCTCTGGAAAGTGTCAATCATTTATGGGTATGAGCATGAACCCCCAAACATTTTTATTTAAAAACAAACAAACAAACACAAACAAAAAAAAAAACCCAAACAAAAAATCCCAACAATCACACAAAACCAAAACCCTATTGAAAAGGTTGCAATTGAGAATATGATGATGCATCAATTTAAAAGTTCGGGTCATTTGTTGCAGAAATTACACCTATACAAATTTGGTTTGATG